TCCCTTTGTAACATGCCATGTCTTGCATCTCAAAATCCCATTTTACTAACCTGTTCTTCTCCCTCCTGCCTCATTTTATCATTTCATTGCAGGAAGATGTAAAGTTCAAGAGAGAGAAGATTGTGCTGGAGTTCCAGCAGCTACATCTGTTTTTGGAAAAACAGGAAGGGCATCTCTTGGCTCAGCTAGATGAACTAGAAAAGGAGATGGCAAAGGAGCAAGAGGAAACTGGCAAACGACTCGATCATACCTTTTCTCTTCTCAGCAGCCTTATCAGCGACTTGGAGAAGGAATGTCAAAGGCCTACGGGTGAATTTTTGCTGGTGAGAATTTGTGTGTCAATTTCATAACTTGGTTCTTACTGCATCCTTTGTGGCCTGCACAATATGTACACTTACAGTGCTTCGGACTTAAGCATGATGCAGGCCAAAAATATTTTACATAAATATGTATACATGTTGAGTCTCCCTTATCTGAAATGCTTGGGACTGGAAGTGTTTGGGATTTTAGATTTTTTCTGATTTTGAAATATTTGCATATACTAATGAGAGATCTTGGAAATGGGACCCAAGCCTAAACATGGAATTTATTTCTGTTTTGTATATACCTTTTACACATAGCCTGAAGGTAATTTTATACACAGTAGTTTAAATAATGTTGTGCATGAAACAAAGTTTATGTACACTCGTCCCTCCACATTTGTGGATTTGACTTTTGCAGATTTGATTATTCATGGATTTTGTTAATATGTTCTCTCTAGGAAAATCTAGGTCCTCTACTGCAACTCTATGGTCAACTTTAATCAAAAGTCTCACTGAAGGACCTAGAGATTCCTAGAGAGAACACTCACTAGGCATTGGTAGCTCCTCCAGTGCAATTCTATGGTCAATATCCAGCAGATATTAACCATAGAGCTGCACTGGAGGACCTAGAGATTCTTAGAGAAGTGTTCTCTCAGGTAAAAACAGTGTTTTTGTTATTTGTGGGTTTTCCACATTCATAGGGGTCCTGTGCCCCTAACCCTGCGAATGTGGAAGGACGAGTGTACATTGAACCACCAGAAAGCATAGGTGCCACTATCTCAGCCACCCATGTGAACAATTTTAGATTTTCGAATATTTCGAATTTCAGAATTCTGTACAAAGGAGACTTAACTTGAAGAAAATTTGACATAAAAATTCAAAACTAGATATATATATATGACAATGTATTTCAAAACCTTTACAAAATATTTTATGTGAAAATATAAAATATGTGTGAATATATTTATGTTATTTTTTATACATGTGGGCTGAGATATAGTGATCCCCTGTGGGTTCCTTTTGCAACTGTTTCTCACTCTGTGCCTTACTGGCAGGAGTGGGCTAACATACCATTATTCACTGTATAATTCATATTTTTGTCTTTTGGTTTCTCTAGAATCTCAAGGAAACCTTCACCCGGTATGCAGTTTCTTTTTGTTCAGCTATTACTTGATGTTCTCTAGCATAAATCCTGTTCACACACACAGAATAGTGGCTGTCTTCTGGGAGTGCACACATTCAATACTATGTGAATGGTGTTGTGTCTAAGATAGATGACTTCGTCTAAGGCTGCTTTTACGCCCCCATCACGCCACCTCTGAAAACTGTTCCTTCAAAACTGAGTGACAAATTGAACAACATGTTTGGGCAGCCATCTAGGAAAACCTCATTTAAAGCAATAGTTATTATTATCAGAGAGCCACTGTGGTGTAGTGGTTTGCGTGTTGGACTAGGACACAGGGAGACCAGTGCTCAAATCCTCACTTGGGCCTTGGGCAAATCACACTTTCTCAGCCTCCAAGGAAAGCATGGGCAAACCTCCTTGGAATAAATTTTGCCAAGGAAACCCTGTGCTAGGTTTGCCTTAGGGTTGTCGTAGGTCAGAAACAACTTGAAGGTACATGACAGCAACAATTATTGCCAACAAAATTATTATTATCATCTATATATGTACCCCCCTTTTGCCAAAACTGGGACTCAAGGCAGCTAACAAATTAAAATGATTACAATATAGTTAGAAACACATAAATAGTCAACCCTAAAATAGAATAAAAGAGCAATATTAAAACAATTTAAAAGTATTAAAGCCCAGTTAAAAACTGTACAATTGAAACAATACAGCACCCTTAGAAAGGCCAATTCCTTTTAAAAAATCAATTCTAAAAGCCATTTAAAATTAGCCCCTTGTTCTGCTTGGTTGGTTTCCCCAGTTCTACATGTCTGGGCATCTCCTTGGTTAAGAAGCATTTCTGAAAAGAAGAAGAGAGAAACCACTTGTTAGAAAATAATGGGTAATGGATCAAGAGATGCCTGACATATGGGTGTGTGAGTCTGGGCTGAATATTGGGTTCTGCTATGCTGGGGATACAAATATAACTAGATGGTGCTGGAAATATGGACAAGCATCTCTCCCTTCCCTAGCACTGTCCTTGGGATCAATTCTGTATTTGGAGAGATCATTCAACAGCACAATATACTTCTGCACTAGTTGATCTGAAGAGTCTCTTTTTCTCCTAGGTGTGAAAAGACAACGTTGCCCTTGCCAGTGGAGAGGCTGCCTAATCTGGAAAAAAACCTCAGTGCAATATCTCAAAAAAGTGTTGCTTTAACAGAAAACCTCAGGAAGTTTAAAGGTATGAAAGATTCAAAGCTGGTGGTTTTCTGTGTCTGTAAGTAAAGCATAAGCAGTTGAAGCTGTTCAATTTTTTTATTGATAAATGTTATTGATTTTCACTTTTTAAAAAGAACCAACAAACACAATTAAAAGAAACAATAATCAAACATAGCATATCTATCATCAAACACTGAGAAGCGGTTGTCTGGTCTATTATAGCATATGACATCAAGATCATTCAAATACTACTCACTTTCATAGATCTTCCTTCTACTTCCTACCTTCTTCTCCCTTACTTCATATTTATCTTCCTTCCTTTCACCTTCTCTTCCTCCACATTTCTTTTCCTTCCAATCCACTCATCCAAATCTTACTCCTTTCTCACTATCCTCCTCATCCCAACCTCTCCTCTATTTCCACATTCTCAAACTCTCCTTCACATACTCCTACCCTCGGCTACTTACTTGATCTTCTTCCCATTCCCCTTTTTTCCTAATCCTCTTCCTCACACCACTTAAAATAACAACATACATCCCAAATTCCTCACTACCTATATGTCTCAGTTCTTGTTATTTTTAATGACTTTCTTATTTAACCACTATCTTTACACACTGTTACAATTCTCATCTTATGCCTTTATACACATTGTCTTATTTGTTCCTTGAACCTCCTATGTTTCTAACACTATTTCATATCTATAATACTTACCTTGTAATACTATTGCAAAAAACCCAACGTCTGTTTCATCAATACATTTCTTCTCTAGCTAAATCATTGTTTACTTATTGGTTGTATCACACTTATAGTCAGTCGCTAAATCTCCCCATTGCTGTCTTATAAAACTAATCACTTTGCCCCATTCATCATTGAATTTATCTAGGGAGATGTCTGTCATCGAACACATTAATTTATCTATTTCAATTATATCATATAATTTCCATATCCAGTCCTCCTTACTTGGGATTTCTTTCTTTTTCCATCTCTGTGCAAAAGTAATCCTAGCAATTGTGACCAAGTAAAACAAGATTTTCCTATGTCTCTTCTCAATTTCCTCGTCAAACATTCCAAGTAGATAGCTTTCTGGTTTCATTTCCAATTTCTCATCCACTATTGTACCAATTGACTCATTAATCATTTCCTAAAATTTCATTGCATGTTTGCAAGTCACCAACAGTGGAAGAAGGGCCCCAGGAAGCCGTTCGAATATTTTTAACCCAGAGCTTCCTTCACCCCTTCATCCCATAGCCAGTGGGGTCATCTTATGGGGGTGCAGACCAAAAATATTTGGAGGCCCCAGTTGCCTACTCCTGCTACAGCAGTCCCAACTGGGAAAAGCACCACACATTAAAAATAAAGGAAACAGGGGCCATGGCTTAGTGTTGTAAGATAAATATTTATCATAAATGAATTTTTCATGTATTTCAGGAAAAGGATTTCCTTTCTCAGTCTCACAACTGTAGAGATTTTCTTTACTATCTTGGGGCAGAGCACATCACATCACATCACCTAGTAACACTCCCAAGGCATTCTGGGAAATAAAAATGGTGTTTTGCTTCTCAGGGATGACATATGGGTCTGTGGTGTTTTACAATTAAGAAACTACAGTGGGCCCTCGGTATCCACTGGGGTTTGGGTCCAGGAAGCCCATGGATACCACAATCCATGGATGTTCAAGTCTCATTAAATGCAAAGGACAATTCAATAGTGCCCCTTATCT